ATTAAAAACAACAATTATAATGAATTTTAATAATTTTTTTGGATTTTTTTGAAGCTTTAATCCAACCGATTCAGCGAATCGACGATCCGGATCACCGATCCGATTTTTAAACCATTGATCTCAGCTATTCAAATGTGATGGTTAAGGAGAACTATACGGCTACCATACATTAGTGGAAGTATAGAAAGCTAGCAATTTAATCTACGTGTTTTTTAGTATAGGTATTTTGAAATTAAATCTATAAATTAGGAGTTCAATATTTCGCCTTTCGTAAATAATTTGATAAATTTATATAAAATAATTTAATCCTGTCAATCGAAACTTTGATATTACCTCGAGGATTGGGAGGAGGAGCTGGTCAAGCTCCACGGTGTTACCGTGGTGGCCTACGCTCCTTATCGGGTGATGCCCAACCACGATCTTCCACTTGGCTGACGACTCACGTAGTGCGACGTCGACATGCTGACAAAAAGCGTACCGTTAGATCATGACCTCACCGTCGTTACGCTAACACAGGAAAAAGACTCAGCACTCGTCATAAACCCCGAAAATGAGGATATATATTGTTATGCCACCTTAAAATATGTTTATGTCAAATCAACTAATTTAATACTATTAAAATATTTATTCATTGAAACATTCTCATCTGACTATTTTGTAAATAATTAAAAAGTACGGGTATTATTTGTTATTTGACCCAAGGGACAAAGTAAGTGAAACACCTTGACTTGCTTTGAGGTTAACAAAATAAGATCATTTAGATTATTTATTTTTTTTATACAAAGAGATCACAATTAATTTTAACTGATATGAAATTCAAAAGATTGAAAATGTATCACAATATTTGATAAATTTTATTTTAGATTTTGTGCCAAAAAATGACACACAAATTATCAAAAAAACCTCTACTCCTACAGGGTTCCAAACACTCAACATGGACATTTTGAGCAATTTTTTTTAAAAAAATGCTTGATAAGGTACAAAAGTGAAATGATGTCATTAAAGCAACCACTTCTTGACAAATTAATTCACTTGACTTCTTGAGTTTTTTTTTTTTTTTATCCGTTTCAAAGTGATTTAACCGATAAAAAAAGTTTATATAAGGTTGCGACTTTAAAATTTAGAATTATAGATGCACCTAAAAAATATATCAAAAAAGGTTGTTTTAATGGTTAAAAAACATCTAATTGATCATCTCGACATCGAGATGTATGAATATGAAAATAAAAAAAGATTTTCAATCCCAAAAATAATGCATCTTTCAATACATTATGTAGACCATTCATTTTGAAGGTTTGCATATGTTTATAAATCTACTTGATTTTAACCATTTTTGGAGTTCAAAATTTTATACTATAAAAATACATTTTGACATAATCCTAAGATTTTTTTCATCAAAATTACAAGTTATAATAAAATTTGAAGGTGCGTCTTGATTAAGATTGCAAAGTCCAAATAACCTATTCGCCCACAGAGAGGAGCCATCACTTTCCAAGAATTTGTAGCTCGCACCTACCATTCAACATATCAAAAAAGGCTCCACTCCTATAGGATAGAACTTGTTTGATTGGAAATAAAACAAGTGATAAATTGGCTTATGTCTCACGGGCCAAATTATCAAAAAAGCCTCTACTCCTATAGGGTTCCAAACACTCAGCATGGACATTTTGAGCAATTTTTTTTTAAAAAATGCTTGATAAGGTACAAAAGTGAAACGATTTCATTAAAGCAACCACTTATTGACAAATTAATTGACTTGACTTCTTGAGTTTCTTTTTTTTTCTTTTTTTTCCGTTCAAAGTGATTTAACCGATAGAAAAAATGTATATAAGGTTGCGACCTTAAAATGTAGAATTATAGATGCACCACAAAAATATATCAAAAAAGGTTGTTTTAATGGTTAAAAAACATCTAATTGATCATCTCGACATCGAGATGTATGAATATGAATCCCATAAGTAATACATTTTTCAATACATTATGTAGACCATTCATTTTTAAAGTTTTCATATGTTTATAAATCTACTTGATTTTAACCATTTTTGGAGTTAAAAATTTTATACTTAGATATGAAAATACATTTTGACATAATCCTAATAATTTTTTCATCAAAATTACAAGTTATAATAAAATTTGGAAGTGCGCCTTGATTGGATTGATTAAGATTGCAAAGTCCAAATAACCTATTCGCCCAAATAGAGGAGCCATCACTTTCCAAGAATTTGTAGCTCGCACTTACCATTCAACATACGACCTACAATTCAATATATGACATATTTCCCCACAAGGAGGATACCATCTGTCTCCAAGAATTTGCAAGTGGCTCCCACCATTCAAATGTTCTGTTTCTTGATGTGGTAGGGATACGTTGAATAAGGATGGAGACGCAACGATTGTTTTGTCCAAAAAACAAAGGATAGAGGCAACGATTACTATGGAAAATATGGGCTAGGAGCATTAATATATCTCGTACACAATGCATCAGTTATATGTAGCTTTCCTAAAAATTAATTTAAAGATACCTCAATTACCCTTGGACAGGATTAGGAATCCTAAACAATCAAGAATATTTTAATAAATTGACATATAACTAAACAAGGATAGGGGTGGCAATGCGTCGAGTCGGGTTGGGTTTGAGTTTGGGTTTGGGTTTGGGTTTGGGTCCGGGTCTAGGTTCGGCTGGACCCAGATCAAAAAAATGATATGAGACCCGGACCCAGACCTGGAAATAAAGTGTGGGACCCAAACCCGATCGAATCCAAACCTGGACCCAAATAATGCATCTTGGACTCGAAGCCAATTCTGGAATCCAACCTAGATAGAGTCTACCTCTCGGGTCCTGGGTCAGGTCTGGGTCCATTGCCAGCCCTATGATGCAAAGGTGCTCCCCTAGTTTGATTGGGTCCTCTAATATTTTTCCTTTTTTTAGGTCGACTGACTCTAAACAGCGGCCATATGAGATATCGAGGAACTTTATTTCACCTTTAGGAGGGTTTCGATATATCGGTGTCTTGGAATAACGCCTCTCCAATCGTAAGAGTGCTCGTTGGGGATGGCCCAGTATTCATCCACGAATGGGTTTGTGTCCACGAAAAAGAAATCGGCGGTCTCTGCAAAATAAAAATTCATTCAAATAAGTAAAAATAGTTGAATACAAATAAATAGTAAATTTTTAATATTTTATGTATTGCTGATATAATAAAAGATAAAATTACAAATAATTCTGATGTTACGGTCTAAGTTCTAAAATATTTCAAAATAATCCAAAAAATACATTTTCTATAAGGCCTTGACCATATCAATAATAATAATAATAATAATAAAAGTCGGTAAAGTCTCACTTGGAAATCTCGGGTGACACAGGAAATCTCTCCGATGGTTTTAGAATTAACTTACAATGCCGGTTATGAATTTTGTCCCTAAAAAAATGGGACTGATTTTGCATACCATCAACATTTGAAAATGGACTGTTTAGATAATATGTTCCAGATATACACTATCTTAAAGGTTCAAAATCTTTATCTATTTTTTACAATCATAATGGTCAAATTGAGATAATAGATTTAAGGAAAAGTATCTTCATACCTTCTATTTTTAAATTTCATTTGTTTAAGTTAAAAAATAAGTTTAAAGTGGTTAAGGGGTTAAAAGATATTTTTCGAAACATTGAGTTTATCAAAAAAACAAAACTTAAAAATAGGGGATACTGAGATATTTTTTTTAGATTTAAAGGTTTTCGACAATTCTAAATGAGTTGGATGAAGTGTTACTTTTTCCCTTTTTTCCATATCTCATAGTTTTTATTTTAAAAAAATTTTTAGGGAAAAATTTATATAGAGCCGAGATCTAAACAATCAAATTAGAACCTACATCAAAAATTTTACTAGAAGAGATTGTTTTGATGTCCAAATATCGTCAAAGTGATCATTTCGACATCAAGAACCACAGACATAAGAAAAAAATGTATTTCAAGTTTTGAAAATAGTGTATTTTGTAATGCATTTTTGGACCATCAAGATTTTCAAGTTTTTATAGAGCTGTCAATCTACACTATTTTTGAAACTTTGAACTTTATAAATAAAAATAAAAATATATTTTAAAGCTATCACAAAAATTTTCAGTATTGAAACCACAATTCTCAATACTATTTGAAGGTAAGCTCCAATTTTGATTGTTTAGAGCCTAGGCTCTATACAAACCACATCCCTTTTATTTTAACCTTTCCTGATCATAATGTTCAAAAATTATGAACTTTATAAGTTTTCACCTTGTTGGGTGGGATTTAGGTGGCTATCATAGTTTCGATTCCTTTTTTCTTTGTAAGATATATTCAGTGTGACGGCATGGAATCCGTATACACTGGATATGCCTTCTGATGACGCACTTTTCAATGGATAGCTGAGATCGACACTGCTTTAGCTATGAAGAAATCCACGCCGTCCATTTCAAGATCGGATATTCCTTTGTGAGGGCATATTTTACAAGAATATGCTCATCTGTTACAAGGCCCATTGGTATCTCCGAATAATCGGCGCGTAATTGGGGTGACGTAATTTTCCACTTCAAAGAAAAGCCGTACAAACGGCGAGGAATTGCCGATTAATTGAGCAGGATAGAATGCCAGCCGACCATAACGGCGAGTAATTGCCAATTAATAGTGAAGAAATGGACGATTTATCTGCTTAAATTGCCAACTAATTGAACATGATAGAGTACAAACCGAACATAACGCGGATTAATGGTAGACCGGGGAATCAAAGAAAAAAATGGAGAACAATTCACGATAAAAAGCCGATTAATTAAAAAAGTAGGGCTTTTTGTACTGTAAATTTACCTGTTTCTACGATAAAGGACCTCATGCAAAGCCACCTGGAGTTGAGCTTCCTGAGAACGGGGCTCAGCTGAGCCAAGACATCTCCTCTGTAATCATGGTTACCCAACACTGGGCACCCAAAAAACACACACGATCAAATCTTAAGAAAAGAAAAAATAAAATAAAATTATATATATATATATATATATATAATTATTTTTTTTTTCCTAATGTTTTTGTATTGAATTTGTATTAAGGAAAAAAAACTCATCATTCAATCACAGCGAGCCATGTGGTTATATGTAATCATATTTACTGTGGAATTCAAAATCTGATAGAAGAGATGAATCGACCCCTTTCGATCGCTTTTGTTCCTTTTTCTCTATAAATGTCAAAGTTTAACGTAGACACGTCTTAGTGTTTAGTGCATAGTAGTTTCTAGACAAAATCGTCTCCTTTCTTGGCAATTACTCGGGAGGTTTTAATCGGCAGAAAATATTAATAAATTGGCGCCAAAAAAGACCGAGTTAGAATGGTCATTACTTGTATTGATTAAGACGTTTAGTTAGTGAGAATAGAAAAATCATGAGAACTCGACGTGGTTTAGGGGTTAAACTCGGGATAATCGGGTGGTATCCGAAAAACTCGCCGAGTTCAAATGACTTTGAAAGAGAGAGAGAGACTTACCAGTGTACCAGGGTTTTTGAAGGCTCTGAGCAGTGTAGATGCTTGTGAAAGACTGTTCAAAGGCGGGGTCATCAACGCCTGTTAAACCGTTATCATAGAAATTGTCACCCGTTGAAATCACAAAGTCTATGCCCATTTCATTGCCGATTCTCCCCATCTGTAATAACATGGATTCAATTACTCATCAGAATATGAAGTCATGAACTCGAAATCACAACTCTGATCAGTTTGAAACAATTGTGGCTCTCTGTATTATCGTATATCTCTGCTGAAAAAATTAATGAAAATTTCGCCTCAGGACTCAGTAGTTTCTGAAAATTTGAATTATAATATGTTTATTTATGATAAAAAGATAGAAAATGTAGAAGGTTGCTTTTCAGTTGAGGTTTAAGACAGGAAAGTTTCAGATAATTGATAGGAAAGTCTGTGATCAAAGGAGAGTCTTAAAGCAAAAGCAGAGGAAGATAACTATGAAAAATAAAAAGCCGAGGAGGAAGCAGAATCGGAAAGAAAGTGAAAGCATTGCTTCATTTGGAAGTGAGGATTGGAATCCAAAAAGCATTGCTTCATTTGGAAGTGAGGATTGGAATCCAAAGAAGTAATGGAGATAAAAGCTTCCTTTTACAATAGGTTTAGGGCATAAAATTTATTAGGTGGAACGAGCAAGAATTAGTCAAGAAAGAGCAGAGGAGCTCAATCTTTAATCGAAAATTGAGTTCAAACACCATTAAAGTAACAGAGGAATCTTCACTATGAAGGAAAAAAGCAAAAGAAGCTATATCTAAGCATCAAAATTTCTCTATCCTCCAATATCGTACAAATTTATTGATCAAATCTCTATATCCATTGAAAAATTGCAGAACAAAAGCTCCAGAAGACCCTCAGCATTCAATCTACTCCTAATCAATCCATTAAAGCTCAAACTTTACGCTTTAAAAGCATGAACAAATCTCCATTCACCAAATTCCCTTTGAAACTCAGTTTTTGGATGAAAAACCAGAGACCATAAAGAAAAGATCATAAAACTCAATCACGAACCTGTTCAGCCACCTTAGACTGGTTATAAGTTCCTTTTCGGCCCCAATCCCCAACTACGAGCAGGTCTAGCGATCCATCTGGTTTCGCACCTTGTTGAAATTTCGTCAACTCAGAGAAAGCCCCGCTAAAACAGAGGGTCATTGAAACCAGCCCTAGAGCGAGAAAAACGCCATTAAAAGGAGCTCCAACTCCAAAACAGCTGGTTTTGAAGGAGCTCCCCATGGCTTCTCTCTCTCTCACAAAATGGATCGCCTTACAGCCTGCAAAAAACCCTAATTCCCCCCCTCTCTCTCCCCTTGTTTCTTGCTTTTGAAAATTTGTAGAGACAGAGGGCCAAGTACTTGGGTTTTATAGGCGGACTTTGCGTGAAGCCACCGTATTGGCCTGTCTTTAAAGGGCGAATTTTCACGACAAAATATCGCATTTTACGGCCGTTTTAACGACCGTTATCCTTATGACTCGGCTGGTATCAGTGGGCGCAAGCAATCATGCATGCAGAGGATAAGGACCGTTCGATCCTCGCCGCTGGTTTTTTATTAGCTGACAAGATAACGCCACGTGGTGAGGGGACAATGGATATTACGCTTTACGTGTTTTTGTAGAAGTTATTTTGCGAGGGAAATGATTTGAGGTACCATGACCTTTTTGTTAGAGGACGGAAACGTCCTTTTCCGTTATGCGCATGGATTATGAGGTCTGATGTAAAATTAAGGGTAAATTATAGATATCCTTTTGAGCCAATTTTATAGGTATTTTTTTTTTTGCCCCCTACCTAAAAAAAATATATATAAAAAACAAAATTACAAACTACATAATTTATTTCAATATTATTTATTATTACATCCATCCTCCGAGTAAAATGTTCCCTCTCTTCTTATCCACTCACTCTCTTTTAGGGCTCGAAAGCCAATTGAGCACATTTTTTATCGTATTGGTACATTTTGGACCCTAGAAGCCGCTCCGGCAATATTTTAACTACACCGATACGCTTAGATCCCCGAAACTAGTCCGATACAAAATGTGTCGAACTAGAACGCTTTGAGGCCTCAAAGCTGGTCCAACAAATTTTTGCTCGAGTGGCGACAAATGAAAAAATAAAGCTACTCCAACACATGAAATATGGCACACAAGCAAAAACGCAATACGATGGGAGATGAACATTAGCTTAAGGAAATTTATTTCATGTGGGCTGGACTATATTTCTACAATATGCGGTCGAGAGGTATAAAACATGCATATTTTAAAGATAGATGCAAATAAGGGGTCATTCTAAAAACGAAGTGTAACTAACCGTCCAAATGTTTTTTTAATATAATTATTATTTATAGTTTTCGTCTTTAGCTTAAAGCATGAGTATTTTTATCTTAAAAAAAAAAAAAATGAGATGGTGCAGGAATAAACACAATTAGGGTAAATGACGTGGTCTTAAAGTGTTGGGAGGATGCTTAGAAGGTCGGATCCGAGAATATCATATAATTTTCCCTAAAATCAATGTTGCATTAGTTGGGCCTAAACTAGTAATGACCTTTACCAGAAGTGACCGCGAATGCGTTTTCTCTATAATAATACTCTAATGCATTATCGAGAGGGCCTTTGTATCCCCACTTGTACTACGTGGGGAAGGCCTTTCTATTCCTCCCCATGAACTCTAAGCTCTTTCTCTCACCCTTAAAAGTGTAAAAAATAATCCTTTAAAATTGGGAATTTTTTTTTTTATTATATATATATGGTTTGTTTAGAATTTTTTTTTTATTATATATATATGGTTTGTTTAGAGTTAACAACCTCTCAAAATACAAAGTTTCAAGTTAGAAAGGGTTGTGATGGGTGTATTTATCAAAACAATCATTATTTTTTTATTAAAAATTTATTTAAATAGGTAACTTTACCATTAAATAATAACAAATTTGAAAATTTCATAAAAATATAACGACATTTTCATAAAAATTTTAAAGCCCAAATATTTTCCACCCCTGGCTTTCGGAGAAATATCGAAATGGCCTGTATCATCTCTCCCAATTTGTGGTCACAAGTCACAACTATCTCTTGAGTATATCTTTGTCATCTGACGATCGAGGGTAGTCATCTGGTGAATCTCCACTGTTTGGCACCTGTGAGGGCCCGTTGGGTTCCACATTAGGTCACTATTTTAATACCTTAATTGTTATAATAATATTTCTTATAGATACCCCTTAAATTTTCTCTAATACTATTCCGAATACCCTTAATATATTTTTATATGATCTCGTCGATACTTTTCTCCCATATTATCCTTTGGGATTGTATGCTATGATATTATTTATTTTTTGTATAAAGAGGTCATAATTATTTTTAACTATTAATTATGAAATCTAATAAATGAACGTTATTCAAAAAATTTTATTTTGGATTTTATGTTCAAATAATAACACATTTTCAACCACTTGATTTCAAATCTAACAGTCAATGATAATTATGTCTTCCTTGAATTAAAGTTAAATAGTCTCATTGTATACATTTCATTATCAATTTATTATTATAAGCCAAACAATTCGTGCTTATTTTAAAGCATACTATCTATTTACTCCCTCAGATAAACCCAAATAAAGAGTATTTTAAAAACCCCAAATTACGGGGATGCAATTATTTGAATCTGGTAGCTAATCTCAAAAGAAAAAGAAAAAAGCACTCAAATATCTGTGTGGCTAAAAACAATAACATCTTAAGATTGAACAAAGACCATCCAAATGTAGAAGGGTGAGACTTAATTGTTGAGGAACTCAAAATCTATTCTTTTTAGAAAGTAATATTGTGATTCTTAGGTGGATCTCAAAATTTCAGATCTAATCCTCCCAACTAAGTCTTCTAAGGGAAGGAGTTAATATACAGTATGCTCATGGGGGATTACTTAATATGAAGAGTAAAAACTACCCAAGTTTCTCTCTCGAGAGTATGACGTCTGCCAATATTGGTCCCTAGTGCTACGAATCGGTTTGCCGTTTCTTTTTTGGACACGGTTTCTATAAGAAATAAATCATTTCTTAAATATCTATTTTTGAGTTTGGACCTGATTTTTTTAAGAGTATGTAATTTTTAACATGAAGATCATGAATATGAAAAAATAAATAAATTTTTAAAATTAATAATAATAATTTTATTAAAAAAAATTTAGACAGTTAGTTTCAATTATTTTAAGATGGGCCATCTATTTTAAAAATTTAAAATATTAAAAAAATAATATTCTCTCTCCGAAATTTAGAAAATTAGTTTCAATTTTTTTTTTTAAATATATGGTGTGATATGTTGTCAAGTATATACGCCTAAATAAGAACTTACCAAATCAGTAAGTACCTAATACTAACCATGTGACCTCCACCACCAAAGGCTGGGCCCATCAAGTTGTGAAGATTCTCCTTTTTCAGCATGGAGATTTCGTTTTATAGAGGGTGAGGTGGAGATCAAAAGTGTATTATAAGAAGTGAGTTGGAGATCCACAGTGATCTAGATGCTCTACCATTTCTTATCATTTATAACAGACAAGTTCTTTCAAAATTTCATTTCAAGGCCTTATGGAGTATTTGAGTTGCTCAAAATCATTTTATTAGATGGTTTTTCTTCATTGATAAAACCCTCAAATAAGTTTCTCAAGATAAAAATATATTTTTTAGGCTTCCAAATTCCCATTATAAAGGGGAGTTTATCAAAATACACCCAATTTATCGATTATTTAACATCTTAGCCATTTTTAAATATTCCAACTTATGATCATGTGTATTTCAATATGATTTTACAATTTAATCAAAATAAATAAGTAAATTTTTTTATAGTTAATTGTTTAGGTACATTTTGATAAATTTCCTTTCCTTGAATTTTGTTCATATCCTATCAACTGGCAAAAGAAAAAAAAAAAATTTGTTGTAAACATTCGAGAGAACGAGAAAAGTAAAGGTCTTTATCCATGTTAAGGAAGATCAATACCTTCTTCTAAAATGGTAAGGGCCTAAGTAAAGGTCTTTATCCTTGTTAAGGGAGATCAATACCTTCTTCTAAAATGGTAAGGGCCTATAGATCAATACTTATTTGAATAGAAATTATTTTGGTAAATTCCAGTAAGTTAATATCTTAACATTACATAAACTAAAATTGTAACTTTTTTAAGGAATAGG